AATTATATCCTTTACTCGTTTATCAGCAAATTAGTTGCGATTTTCATTTCATCCTCTTTTACAATAATTTGCGATAATTTATATTAAGAATACATTAAAATACTAAATGTAATGAAGTATATTATAAAAGTTATAAATGACTTTAAATTTAAGATTTTAATTATTTATTCCAATTAATTTGTTATCATTCAAATGCTATTCTCAAAAATGTTTGTTTCAATGAGTACTTTATAATAGGATATATGGCATGAATGATATAATGATCTATAATTACATGTAAAACATACTCGACTTCGTTAGTGAATAACTTGTGAGTGAAATAAATGTATTCAATAAAAGAGTATTTATCGCGGCGTTAGAAAGAGCTTCACATGTATTGCATATTCGGATAACTTATATATTTTTGTCTGAGTTTCGCATAATTTAATTGAATTCAAACTATACTTCTTATTCGCTTATGAATGCATTTTCTTAATAATACTTTTGTGTAATCAATAATAGACTGACAAGAATTCAGCTTATTTTTTAATATACAGATTACAGGAAATTTTCTTTTTTGCCGTTTTTTCATTATTCTCCTAATTTTTCACAATAAATCAAATGTAAATTCTGTTTTGATAAATGAATGCAAAACACTATTATTAGAATTCGGCATTAAAATCAATGGAGAAAAAGTGTGTTATTTATCTGGTATTTATGGGAATCGACGGAAACAAGGATTATATGAAATATTGAAACATTTTTGTTGCAAATTTTATGCACTTTTTGTCCTAAAACATCAAAACAATCATTAAATATCTATTATTTCCATCATATCTATGGATATAAAATAAATAACTTTTTACTTAAATGTTTTCTTCACAAAGAATTCAAACAATTTCTTCATATATCAAGACATTCACGAAATTGTTATTTGCATTGAATTTGTTTGTATGACTGAAATCTGAGACAATCTGAAAGTTCTGCTATTTATTACAAACCATTATTTTAATAAAACTGAATTTGAGCTCAACTTATAATGATTTTCTAAATTATTTTTCTATTGAAAAACATTTTCTACGAAACGATACTTTCATAACACAAATATAATTGTGTCAAACTTCTCGGTAATAAACAATTCATTAATGAGTTGTTATCCATCGGTTATGCACTTGTTTTACATATAATAATTATTTTGATTATACAATAATAATTACACAGAATTGATATTTGTAAATATTCCTATATTAGAAAATACAATAAAGGCATAAATACAGTCTAATAAATAATTAATTTATAAGAATTATATTTTTTGCTAATATTTAATGATTGTTATCGTTGTTAGCGATCATTATTAATCTGATTATACATGTGCTGTAGTTTATTAAATGTTAATTTAATAATTTTAATTATAATTGATGCAACTTATAAATATTATATTAATAATAATAATGCTAATCTTTTATATATTTTAATATAAAATAGCAGAGAATATGATAAAAAATAATAAAATTTATTTATAAAATACTAAAAATAATTTATTTTAATGCTATTAAAGTAGATTTGTATTAAACATTCATATTGTGTAGCTTTTGGCAAATAATTTAAAATTATTTCAAATCTACAGTAAGAAGTAGGGATGGGAGCAGTACATGAAAGTAATTTTGCCACTTATTTATGTATTATTAGTAATAATTTATTACTAATTTATTAGTGTGAAGGGGGTAGCCGAACGGTCTTATAAACCACATTATTCATCGCTGAATTGTGGTTAAAAAGAAAATAGCTGATATTTTCCTAGATATAACTACTTTTACATGATTATTATTAAAAATAATAGTTTATTTTTTACTATTTGAAAATAAATTGATAAAATAACACAGAATTATATGAATTTCATCCATTTTTAATAAATATTATCAATAGTTGACGCCATTTTTGTATGTATGGCAAATCTTGACATGTATAATACACAATGTGTACATGTCATGTATTATACATAAGTATTATTGCCCCCATCCTTAGCAAGAAGTGACCAAAACCTATGAAACCATTTGAAAAATATAAAACACTTTAAATTAATGATGATATTAACGAAGCTATAAATATAAATATTTTATATATAATTACAACAAGTGCTCCAATGCTCTGCAATCACTGTATGAAATATTATAACTAATTAAAAATTTAAGTTATAAAAAGAATTCATTATTTAAATAAATGTAAATCTATTTATAATTTATAGCAGTTATACACTTGTCTTTATGTCTACATTTAATTTCACGTCTAGTATATTACTGTCTAATTATATTTATGCCAATTTATATTCATATTGTTTATGCATTTTCATTATATTTCAATAATAAACAAAAATGAAGATATGAATAATGTGTTCAACATATAAAAACATGATTAAACTTAATTAAATTTATAACAAAAACAAAAATATTCAGTTTAGATAAGAATTCATTAAACTTTTAATTAAAGCAGCGCTTAATTCTTGATTAGCATAATAGCAATCGTTAAATGCAAATCTAAATGCATTCATGTCTCAAATGATTTGCCATTTATTTAGTTTGAGACACATTTTCTGCCATTTTATAGTTATGTTGAAAATAAAACAAATGAATTACTAAAACATTGCAATAAAGTGTATATTACTATATAGTATATTACTCTATAAATTATTAGTGTTAACAGTAATTAATAAATACTGTTTGGGTTGAGTGACCCAATATATAAATGTATATATATTTGGACACGACTTTCCTATTAGACAATCGACACCACATTTACTACAATAAGACATTACTCCAAACATTAGGGACTCTCTGTTTAGATGTCACATAAAATAAGAAAAATAGGAGTATTTTCAATCAAATCCCGAGATTTGGATCAAAGATTGTGTTTGAAAATTGTGTCAAATACTGATAACACAGAATCGAAGAATTGGATTCTCGTTTCCAATAACTATTATATGGTTTGATGTAAACTATGGCAACAAATTCCCAGAATATGTCATCAAATTTAGTAAAAAACGAATTCTTGTTATTCTCTGTGAGAAACCGACTTATATTTCAAAAAAATAATAAAAAACATTTTCTGATAAATTAACAGAATTTATTATTTTAGTAAATGACCTGAATTTGGCGTTTATTATTAATTTCCTCAATATTTATGGGTTGAAACAAAATTATTATAACTTATATTTTTTAACAGTTATTTAGTTCTCAGTTTAAAAAATAAATTACTTTTTAGAAACAATTCTTTTGGGAATTTATCACTAAAAGAGAAACATATTATAAATTGAGTTTTAAATGCATAAACAAGTAATAATTTATAAGATAAGCATGGTAGACGTTTTAACATATCTCGTTCTTATTCATCATAGCTATATAATTCTCAATCATGCTGAACCTTCTATAAATCTAATTAGTTTATGAATATCTATTTATTTATAAGCGTTAGAATATCTAATATAGAGTTAATACATACAGGAATCGTATCATACGATGAATGAAAACGTGATGGGAATATGTGTACAAAATCATTATTATTCAAATATTTCACAAATATTATTAAATAAATAGCATTTTAGATGAGTTCGTGAGTTTTATTTGCTTTTTTGTTTGTTTTAGATATTTTTAATGTTTGTGTGTTTTTGATTATTTTTATTTTATAATATTGATAATATAATTATTATTACTATTATAATTCAGTGTATTATTATTTAGACAATCATACCTTCATTTTACCTTATTTAATACAGTATCGTTGAATCAACAATAGTGTGATATAAAATGATTTATTTTGTATCATATTCTTATACATAATTTATGCATGTTACTCAATAATACTGAAATGCATAATGTATAAAATTTAGATTTTACCATTACTCAATGAATCAAATGGTTACCATGCACTTCCATACATACTTTCAATCTTGTAAGTTACTATCTTTATTTAAATTTTTCATCATAATGATTTCCAACATAAAAATTTACATAAATTTCGATCTCAAGTTAAGTTATGTAATCTATCATGTTTTCCTGTAATACACTGAAATAACTTTAATAATAAATCAACAAATATTGCTAAATCTCAGCTATAATACAATCACTTTCTGCTAATTATATTTTGAATTATTAATTGAAATATTATTTCATAAATATATTGTTTGTTTTAGATATTTTTAATTTTTGTGTGTTTTTGATTACTTTTATTTTATAATATTGATAATTATTACTATTATAATTCAGTGTATTATTATTTAGACAATTATACCTTCATTTTACCTTATTTAATACAGCATCGTTGAATTAACAATAGTGTGATATAAAATGATTTATTTTGTATCATATTCTTATACATAATTTATGCATGTTACTCAATAATACTGAAATGCATAAATGTATAAAAATTTAGATTTTACCATTACTCAATGAATCAAATGGTTACCATGCACTTCCATACATACTTTCAATCTTGTAAGTTACTATCTTTATTTAAATTTTTCATCATAATGATTTCCAACATAAAAATGTACATAAATTTAGATCTCAAGTTAAGTTATGTAATCTATCATGTTTTCCTATAATACACTGAAATAACTTTAATAATAAATCAACAAATATTGCTAAATCTCGGCTATAATACAATCACTTTCTGCTAATTATATTTTGAATTATTAATTGAAATATTATTTCATAAATATTAGTGCATTGAATAATTTATAAATTATAAACATTTCCATAAGCGACCCTACAGTATAGCCTTAATACAGTATTTATTTAATTAGATTTCTTAATTCAATATCAAATATAATAAATTATTAATAATATACTTTCTGTTTATTATATTTGATTTGTAATGTAAACAAAATTTCCATACTTTTACTCATTTTGATTAAAAAATAAAAAACGAATGAAAACACATGTTTTAAAACATTCAGTTTTATTAAATTATTAAATGTATATAATTATTATTAATATATGATTCTTATAATAAAAAGTGAACTTAAATTCAAAGAATAATTTCAATTAAAACAAAAATAACTTTTATATTAAACAATAATAACATTAAAGATTAGCAACATTTGTTCCGTCGGGTGTCTGCGCCCTCCTCTTCATCAGTGGGCGGGTCTGCGGCTATTGTAAGACCTCTAATGGATTGTTCACGTAATGGATAAAAGTTATTAAAAATATGGCCAATAAATCAGAACCAAAAGACATACCTCTGGTTGGGAGCCGACGCTGAGGACCGGGACTTGACTTGTGTTTGTTCTTGAATTAACTGGTTTTGTGCTAACATTTCTATACGTAAGACACCATCGATTGCATTATTAAACAAAACATTTGTATTATTAATCAATGTTTGACTTGAAATATAAAACAATTACTTTTAGTTAAGTCAAGAAACAGGTCATCGATTCCGCGGTTACTCTTAGCGGACGTACAGTAATGATAAGCGTTAACGGATTGGCTGTACTTCTGCGCCTCATCGATGATCTGGTTGTCGGCGCCATTGCTTTGCTGCTGAGGGGAGAGGAGGTCTGTCTTATTGCCGACGACCGCCAGAACCACATTATTGCCGCGAATTTTGCGCAACTCTTTCACCCATGACTTCACTTTCGACAGAGAGTCCGGATCTGTGATGTCGTACACCAGAAGCGCGCCGTTGGAGTCCCTGTAATAGATGGGTCCCAACGCGTGGAACCGCTCCTGACCTGAACAGACAGATATCACAAACAAAGATATATGTGTTAACAAAATGGGACAACAAATGTGCGGACAAAGAGCTCTCTCTCTCTCTCTCTCACCGGCCGTATCCCAAATGGAGAGCTGAACGCGAGTGTTGTTTATGATAAACTTTTTGGTCAAAAACGAGGCCTGAAGTGTCGACTCGTGGTTTTCACTGATATATCAAAGACAAACACAGAGACAACCGTTTAGTACTGCAATCAACGCACGGATCAAATGAGGTGATCATAAAAAATGTCCAACACTTACGTGAATTTATTTTGACAGTATCTCAGCATCAGTGATGTCTTCCCAACACATCCCTCGCCTAATAATACAATCTTAAACTGTTGTTGACTTAATTGAGTGGCATTTGAAGACATGTTTGTATTGTCCGCTAATTTAGTGAAATCACTATTGAATCCCAAAAACACTTCACTTTATGTTTGAGACAACGATTCAAACGCTGTTTTGCTTACAAATTGTGTTTACGTTTTGATGGCTTACGTTATGAGTGGTTCACTCGTGCAGTACGTCCACAACTCAACTCATTTCATCCCTCACTCACTCCCTCTCCCCCTCATCTCCACAGCCAACCCCTCCCTCCCCTCTCTCCCCCTCCCCATTGAATTTTGTACGTTATTTATGAACGACTGATGTGTGCA